GAGAGAGAGAGAGACAGAGTGTGAGCAGGGGAGGGGCAGAGAGAAACGGAGACACAGAGTCCAAAGCAGGTTCCAGGCTCTGAGCTGTCAGCACAGAGCCCGACGCGGGGCTGGAACCCACGAGCTGTGAGATCATGGCCTGAGCCGAAGTCGGATGCTTAACCGACTGAGCCACCCAGGCACCCCTATTCTCCAACTTTCTGATACCGGCCCGGTGTCTTACAAGTCAGTTCAAACCCGACACTAACATTCTGGGGTTGGCAGACCCAGGGGGATAAGGGTCAGTCTGACGAGAATGCTCTTATCTTGGACACCAGTCACAGGTCACACAGGCCAACTGTCCTTAAGACCGACTGGCTGTATATTTGCTGGTTCCCACAACGCCCTCCCCAGGTTGGACAGGGAATGACTCCCGGAACTCGCAAAAGCACGACTTACACTTGCTGGTTTATGATAAGGAGCGTGATTCAGGAGCAGCAGCAGGAGGCCATGGGGATGGCGTGGGGCTTCCGTGGCCTCTCCCGGCATGCCGTGCGCCCGGTACTTCTGCGTGTTCACCAGCTTAGAGGCTCCCCAGACCCCATCATTTGGGGAGCTTGATGGAGGCTTCGTTATTTAGGCATGAGAGATTAGTCATTGGCCATTGGTGACTGAAAATCTCCGGCCCCTCTCCCTTCCTCAGAGGTTGAGGGTTGGGGCTGTGAGGTCAATCCTCTGATCACCCGGTAGGCATCTCTGATGACCAGCCTCCGTCCTGAAGCTCTCTGGGGGCCCACCAAGCGTCCCCTGCTTAGCCTCAACTCAGACGTGATTGAAAGGGGCTCATCATGAATAACAGAATTGCTCCTGTCACTCCCTTCCTTTAGGGCAATTCCAAGGGTTTTAGCAACTCTGTGCCAGGAACCTGGGACAGAGACGAAATCCGTGTTTCTTATTATATCGCCCCAGTGTGTCCCCGTGTCTCCCCTAATTCTAAGGCTCCCTGGGACTCTGACCATTACAAACAGAGGCCAAAGCCTCTTGTCTCTGTCCATCTTTATTTTTTTTTTTTTAATTTTTTTTTCAACGTTTGTTTATTTTTGGGACAGAGAGAGACAGAGCATGAACGGGGGAGGGGCAGAGAGAGAGGGAGACACAGAATCGGAAACAGGCTCCAGGCTCTGAGCCATCAGCCCAGAGCCCGACGCGGGGCTCGAACTCGCGGGGCTCGAACTCACGGACCACGAGATCCTGACCTGGCTGAAGTCGGACGCTTAACCGACTGCACCACCCAGGCGCCCCGTCTCTGTCCATCTTTAGACTCAAGTGTCCGGGAAGTTGTACAAAGGATACCTGAGTTTTCACTGGTGGAGACTATCCAGTAGAAACACATTGTCAACGAACTTTCCCTTTATTTTTTCTTAATTTTTTTTAATGTTTATTTATTTTTGAGACAGAGAGAGACAGAGTGCAAGCAGGGGAGGAGCAGAGAAACAGGGAGACACAGAATCCAAAGCAGGCTCCAGGCTCCGAGGCATCAGCACAGAGCCCGATGCAGGGCTCGAACTCACAGACTGTGAGATCATGACCTGAGCTGAAGTCCGACGCTTAGCTGACTGAGCCACCCAGGCGCCCCTCCATGGCGTGCCTTGAAGACCTCCCACGCCTGATTCAGGCGTCGGCTTTCGGCCTCCCCTCAGGTCGTTTTCCTCACAGCTTCCTGCTGGTCTAGACGGAAAAGCTCCTGTGCCTCTTTCCCTGTTCCATGTCCCCGAGGACCGCCCTGTGGTCTGTTATGGAGCATTAGCTGTGTTTCTTTCAGAACCCCTCATTCTGGATCCTTCAGTAACTAATTCTGTGTGGTCTCTAGATCAGCATCCAAGTTCTGGGACAAGAAATCCTATCGGAGAAGACGGACTCCGCAAGCTGCCGCGTGGGGGGAGCGGGGCGCCATCTTGAAATGGCGTCTCAGGAGCTGGGACCTCGGGCCTCCCCCTCCAGGCCTGGGGAGCCGCCGAGCCGTGCTGTGAAAGAGGAGTCTGACGTGGAGCAAGAATTAGGTGAGGGGCGCTTCCTCGCGGTGGCATGTGGTGAGTTCTCGGGGAAATCTGCGGGCCGTGGTTAGTGGGCCTAAGACCGAGTGGAAAATGATATGCTGCTCGGATCAGGGTATCTCTGGAAAGTCTGCAAACGGAGTGGACTTAACTGAATCCCTCTGAGGGGGAGCTCTGGTCCGTGAATCTCCTCTATGGCTGGGCCAGACCACGTGAATTTTGGTTCTGAGGAAGGAGGAGGAAACTGTGGACGAGACTGTTGGGAAGGTTGGAGCGAGCTGGGGCTGGTTGGCGAGGGAGGGACGGGCATCACTTCTGACGTGTACCGACCGATCGCATCGGTGCCCTCCGGGGAGTGGTTTGCGACGACATCTAGAGCCTTCCAACTTTCTGTTCCTCGCTTCAGCGCTGGCCGCTGCCGCCCTGGACGAAAGGCTCGTCGGAGACCAGGACTTCACAGCCTCCGTGCTCCAAGCAGCACCTCAGGTGAGCCGGCTTCCCTGCTTGTCTTCCCCCCGCCGGGGCTCCAGCGGGAGCGTGGAAAGGGGACGTGCTGTCAGAAGGAGAGAGGACGGCTAGCGAGGGCAACAACAGGCACGTGGAATGAAGCCCGAGTCCCAGTATTTCTCTTGAGGCAGAAGGCTGGGTGATCGTCACCTTGATAACGGAATCTGGACCCGTTCTTCCTGGAGGAAGTGGCTGTGAAGCTTCCCTCTGGTTTGTCCTGCTACTGCTCTTGGGGTCGTGCAGAGAAAAGACTCTATTTCCTGGTCTCGGCCTCCCCCACGGAGTCAGTTTAAGAGTTTGAATGGTTACGGGTCACGTGGGCCAGGCGACCTCCCCCAGCTTTAGGGAGGTGTAGTGGACAAACAGTAAACCGCACACATTTCAAGCATATGGTTTGGTAAGTTTCTTGACACCTATACACACGTGTGAAACCATGTTCACAATCAGGTTGATAAACATCCCTGTTACGCCCACGGTTTCCTTTTGCCCCTTTGTGACCCCTCCCACCTGCCCCCCACCACCCCCAGTGCTGAGATCCCAAGGCTGCCACTGAGCTGCTTTCTGTCACCATACATTAGCTTGCATTTTCTAGAATTGGGTGTGAAATGGAGTCATGTCATCTGTACTCTTAACTTCGTTCTTCTGCGTGTAATATATTTTTCTTGCTTCTTTTGATATTTTCTCAGTGGTTTTTAATGGTTTGACTACGATGGATGGCCTAGGACTCATTTTCTTCGTGTGGGGTTCTTGGATCTGTGGGTTTATAGTTTTCATCAAATTTGGAAAATCTTGACCAGTATCTCTTCGACCATCTTCTGTCTCCCTTCCTTCTCCACTTCTTTGTGGATTTTGAGAATAACCCCCACGTGGTCTCTGTGTGAGGATAACGTGTGTATGTTCATTAGAGCTCTCCAGGTTGTCCCAGAGCTTTATTGATGCTTTGTGTCTCTATTAAAAAAAAAAATCTCTGTTTCATTTTGGATACTCCCTGTTCATGTGTCTTCAAGTTCAGTAATCTTCTCTTCTGCTTTGTCTGATCTGTTGTTAATCCCATCCAGTGTATTTTTCATCTCAAATGTCTTTTTCATCTCTAGAAGTTTGAATTGGAGCTTCATTATATTTTTCACATCTGTACTTAACATGTTCTGTTGTTCCTACATTTTCTTGACTGTACGGAATATGGCTATAATGTCTGTTTAAAAAAAGTTTTTTTTAACGTTTTATTTATTTTTGAGAGAGACAGAACCATGAAGTGAGTGGGAGGGGGGCAGAGGAAATCACAGAATCTGAAGCAGGCTCCAGGCCCCAGGCTGTCAGCACAGAGCCCGATGCGGGGCTCGAACTCACGAACCGTGAGATCACGACCTGAGCTGAAGTCAGGGACCTTTACCTTAACCGACAGGTACAGGCACCTAAGTGTCTATTTTAATGTCCTTGTCTGCTAATCTATCACCTGTGTCATTTCTGAGTCAGTTTTGATGGATTGATTTATCTCATTAATGAAAGTGCTGCTGCTACTTACCATGCCCAACGGCAGTTGGATGTCAGACGTGAATTTTACTTTGTTGGGTGCCGAGTATTTTGGCATTCCTATAAAAGTTCTTTTTTTTTTTTTTAATGTTTGTTTATTTTATTTTTACTAAAATTTTTTTTAATGTTTATTTTTGAGAGAGACAGACAGAGTGTGAGCAGGGAAGGGGCAGAGCGAAAGGGAGACACAAAATCTGAAGCAGGCTGCAGGCTCTAAGCTGTCAACACAGAGCCTGATGCAGGGCTCAGACCCACAAACTGTGAGATCATGACCTGGGTCAAAGTTGGACCCTCAACCAACTGAACCATCCAGGCGCACCTCTTTTTATTTTTTAAAATATTTATTTATTGATTTTTGAGCACAAGAGAGAGCAAGCATGTGCACGAGTGAGGGAGGGGCAGAGAGAGGGGGAGAGAGAGAGTCCCAAGCAGGCTCCACACAATCAGCACAGATCCAGATTTGGGCCTCGAACTCATGAACTGTAAGATCATGACCTGAGCCAAATCAAGAGTTGGACACTTAACTGACTGAGTCACCCAGGTGCCCCATTTATTTATTTTGAAAGAGAGAGAGTGCATGAGCAGAGGAGAGGGGCAGAGGGAGACAGAATCCCAAACAGGCTCTGTACTATCAGCGTGGAGCTTGACTTGGGGCTCGAACCCACGAACCGTGAGATCATGACCTGAGCCGAGTCAAGAGTTGGATGCTTAACCAACTGAAGCACCCAGGTGCCCCCCTGTAAATGTTCTAGAGCTTTGCTCTGGGATGTGACTGAGTTGCTTGGACGTAGCTTTATGGCACCAGAGAAGTCTTTAGTCTGGGCTAATGTCTCCCACCACCGAGGCAAGACCCTTCTGTGTATCGTACCTGATGCTGCTTGATGTATGAGGTTTTCCACTCTGGCTGGAAGGAAGTACCTACCGCCAGCTCTGTTTGCTCTGCTTCTCCTGGAGGCTCCTTCCCAGACCCGAGGGGGACCCCCTGGAGATCTCCGGAGCCTTCTCTCCGTTCAGCTCCCCACTCTGGCTGCCTTCGCCTTCCCAGACCCTGAGCAACTTCCGCCAACTCTAGGGGGAGGGGGCCGCCTGACTCAGCCTGGCCCCCCTGCCTGTGCTTCCGGGCTGTTGTCTCCAGGTGGTGCGTTCAGCCAGTGCAGGGCTCACCTGATTTGTCTCCTCACTTTCAGGGAGCTCTGCTCTGCTCCGCCTGACAGGCGGTGTCCCCAAACCGTTGTTTCCTATATTTTGTCTCCTTTTCCAGTTGTTTCAGGAGGGAAAGTAAATCTGGTCTCTGTTACTCTATCCGAAACAACTTGGGGAACAGGTTTATTTTGAGTATGTAGTTAACAATTCTGAAAAGTTGCATTTGATAAAAATAAAGTTTTTCTGGGGGCACCTTGGTGGCTCAGTCGGTTAAGTGTCTGACTTCGGCTCAGGTCATGATCTCGCGGTTTCACGGGTGCTGTGCCTGGAGCCCTCTGTGCCGACAGCTCGGAGCCTGGAGCCTGCTTTGGATTCTGTCCCCATCTCTAACCGCCCCTCTCCTAATCACACTGCCTGTCTGTCTCTCTCTCAAATTTTAAATAAAGATTAAAAAAAATTTAAAAAACACTACAAAATTATTTAAAAGATAAAGTTTTTCTGGAACCTGTACTCCTTGATCGAAGCGTTGTTTCAAGCCTTCGGGGAACTCTGCGGTTCTCTAGAGAAGGTAAGGGCAGGGAGGCCAGTAGGTGGTGGTGATGTGCTGCCCAAGCCCGATGGGAGCTTCAGATTTCCAGGCTCAGGGATGTAGAAACCAGAATACGAACTTCACAGTTCACCCTGGGAGAGGGATAGGAGAGGGCAGGAGAGGGACAGACCTTTTTAGTGACTCAGGAGTACCTGTCTTCCCACTTTCAAGGTACCTAGAAACCAAATTGTTAGGTTTTGTAGTGCAAAAGATTTGGGTATTCTGTGAAATATTTCAAGCAGACGTGAGGATTACTGTTGCTTCTGTAGTAAGTACAGAGTGTTCCTATGAGAGGTCTGTACAATTTATGAACATCTTTTAGCTGGTAGAATTAAGCATTAACGAAACATTACGTAGCAACATTGACCGTGACTTGTTCTGGATAGCTCGAATCAAATGACTAAAAAAAACGTTCACTGGCATGAGCCATGCCTCTGTGTGCATTTCCCTGTATTTAGCAGATAACTGATTAACAGCCCCTCGATCCAGACAAACAAAAGTCATTCTTAACCGCTTCCAGCATCCCTGCTCCCAACTATAACAAGGGCCATGTGCACCTCCAGAAGGGGCTTGATACTTAGTGGACGCTTTGTTACGTGCAGGGGATCTCGCAATAGATGTAATCACTCCCTCGAATCTCCTCTATAGGTTAGGAGCCTCGTGAATAATGCCAGAATAATGAGGTAGCATCCCCACGCAGTTTCATCGTTAGAAACCAGGAGTGAGTTAGAGCCTCACGCAGACTCGGGGATGCTTTTACTCACATTCCTGCGTCTTCAGATTTCGGGAGAGGAACACAGTGCAGGGGGACCTGTGTGCGGGTCAGCTGTGGCAGCGTCTCACAAACCCACAAGGTGGCGCTGTCTCCACACAAAATCAAGGGTAGTTTTGCATCAGATTCCATAGTTTTGCATCAGATTCACGTGAAGCGTGAGGGGTCCCCTATTCAGCAGTGTTTGCTCAAACCTGTTCTTCTCCGGAGGTTGTGAAGGTAGCTTCATTCACAGATTAACACAATAAGCTCACAGTTCTACGAGCTCCTTTCAAAACTGAACATTTTATTTTATCTTTTAAAGGTTATTTATTTTGAGAGAGAGAGAGCACACGGGGGACGGGCATAGAGGGAGAGAGAGAGAACCCCAAACAGGCTCCGCTCTGTCAGCATGGAGTCCGATGTGGGGCTCGATCTCACGAACCGTGAGATCCTGACCTGAGCCGAAATCAGGAGTTGGACGCTCAACTGACTGAGCCACCCAGGCGCCCCCAAAGTAGAAAATTTTGAATTAAAATTAAAATAAAAAATGTGGTTATAGTTAATGCTTAAGTATATCGTGAAATACATTTAAGTCACTTTTTGCATTTTTATCCTAAAAAAAATCCAACCCCGTGTTTTCTTTTTAAAATTTTTGCTTAGTATCTGCTAATTGCAGACTTTTGGGTAAATCATGCTTTTTCAGACCTTTCTGCTTCCCTTTGATATGCTGTTAGGCAGACTTGACCTAGGACTGAGAATGGCTTCCCTGAGCATACCTCGTGCCCTGAGAGTATCTCATTTTCTTATTCGCCCTCCTCATGTTTGCTCCCTGTAGCCTGGCTATTCATAATAGTGGGTGGTTATCAACTTTGGGGTTCCTGAAAGAGTACAGCATCCCTTCATTTTCTCTGCAAACCCTGGTGAGCGTGGGAGACCGGGTGTCCCGTAGGCCGCACATAGAATAACACTACTACAGGCGTGATTTCCGAGGAGTTATTTGCCGAGGGCTTTATTTCCCCCAGACAGCATGCACCGAGAGCCTGCTCTGTCCTGGGCATCGTCTCGGGGCCTGACAAAGTACACACTGGAGCTCACGTGCTAACGGGGGCAGCTCTTAGCCAAACACCTGTGTGCGTGCATCTCCGAACGCCTACGTGTTCGCTAGGCCGGTGAATGCCAGGACTGAAAACTAGAGCGTGCCGTGAAGACAGGGGATGCCTGCGTTATTTCTGTCAATCAGGGTGTGAGTGTTATCCCACCACCAAGTGAGAACAGAGGCTCAGAAAGGTGGTGTCTCTTGCTGAGGGTCACGCAGGTAGAAGTGGCAGGGCCGGGACTCAAAAACCCGGCCCGGTTGAGTCACACAGGTAGAGTTTACAGCCGGGACTGGGCTGTTGATCACTCTGCCGTCCAGACTGGGTCTCCAGTGCTCCGCTCTTCGGCGGGGAGATGGGGATTTGAATCCACAGACGTGGACTCCAGCTGGGCAGCGTTGCCAGGTTTGAGGCTCTAGCCTCCAGTTTCACAGGAGAAGAAGGGCATGTTTTGGGGGACAATTGAGGCACACCTTGCTCCAGAGAACCCATCGGTTTTCCACTGAGTGGGAGGAAAACCGATCTAACGTTAGGCTGTAAACTCAGAACTGTTGGGGAGGCTCCACGTGTGCACGGAGGCAGCCCTCCGGCTCTGGTCTGAATCCGCTGATCTGTTTCAGAGAGACTAGGATGCGTCCGACTTCCTTGTGGTCGCTTCCCACCTTTTTGCTGACTCGCGTGTGGTTTTCTAACAAATTCCCTTTTAATTCCTTTTCCCTCTTGAATTTCCAGAGTTTTAAGACATTTTTTTAATGTTTATTTTTGAGAGAGAGAGACAGACAGAGTGAGAACAGGGGTGGGGCAGAGAGAGGGAGACACAGAATCCGAGGCAGGCTCCAGGCCCTGAGCTGTCAGCACAGAGCCCGACGCGGGGCTCGAACCCACGAAAC